CGGGGGGGGGGGCTAAAGCAATGCGCCGCTCGGGCAGGGTGCACTATCGATCTCACTGCCGCTGGGATGAGCCACACTTCTGCAGCAGTGATCTGGTGCAGCGCCGTTCTACACGTGATGGTATTCTGTCCAAAAGAGCGATCAGTATATCGTTCTCTCTACAAAACATTGCTGTCCGCAAGGCACTGAGAGGTAGCTATATTGACTCTAGAAATTAGACTTCTAACCAAAATTTTGCCTGCGCCTAAGCACCACAATCTGAATTGCAGAAGAACTGAGGCACAATTCCACGCATTCTTCACTTCGGTAGTAGATGGAGGTGAGTTGTTATTTTCACACTCCAGCCTATTTAGCCAATGAGGAACAGCCCCGGCTAACTATTTGGAGGTGAGCCCCATAGCCCCTCTGGAAATCGCAAAAAAAAAAAAAATCCCTACTCCAGCTATGAATCAAACCTCGGCTTACAAGGGCGTAACAAGTCACTTCAATGGCTGAGCTATCTAGCATCATCTGCCATGCGGTAACTCAATTCTACAGTACAAGAATAATAAGAAACAACTAAACTCCGTGACTTTAGTCCCTAAGCGCACTATACCCACCGAGCAACTTCCGTTTGTCGGCGAAGTTAGTGTCAACTTTGGTGGGCAGAGGGTGTCGCGTAGTCAGCGCGACAAATCCCCACGGCTCTTAATCTCGGCTTTCTAGACCGGAGCCGCTAATTTTCCATTCAAGTAGTTCCTCAATTATCCTCACGAGGCTGAGTGGACCCCGTTCCAGACCCACTATATCTCAGAAAATCTGGTAGGGCCGGGAATCGAGACCGGGACCTCTGGATCTGTAGCCAGGAACTCTGACCACTAGACCACAGAGACGGTCACAAGAATAACCATTTTGTGATAAATGAAATGGAGAAGAGTCCTTTTGAAAAGCCAGTATTCACTCAACTAATAAACTCCGCATTTAATACCGTGTTCACAAGAACCGCCTCTGAATGATATCCTAGGCCAAATGAATCAACTCCACAACCCCAAAGCCAGTTTCTGACTTGATGTAATATCAAAATTCCACTTGCGCCTAGATTGTCAAGAGGTTTCTTCCTTTCGGATGTGTTAACTACTTGTACATTCGTTTCTAAACTCATTTGTATGCTGCAGAAGCACTTTACCAGACACGAATGATCTGTGTTCTCAGTGCCTCCGGATTTCTGGCATGCAGTTTAGCCCGAATGAGTTCCAAAGCTAACAATTTTGGAAAACATTAATCGGTAAAGTACCTGGCTTCATGTCTAGAAAATCCTAAATGCCCCCCTAAAGTTAAAGTTGTTCGTGTGCCTAAGTAAGTACGCACTAGGCCATGGAAGGCGTATGGGGGAGTGGATATATAGATCCACATTTTCTTGACTTCAGCACTAGATGAGGGTAAGTAGTCAGCTTCACGCCCTTGCCTCTTCAACTCCTGAGAAAAAGTTCTCGGTACCCATTGGATAGGAGGTTGGGTGGACCCCAGAGCCGGTATGGACGACGTGGAGAAGAGAAGATTTTTGACCCTACCAGGATTCGAACTCCGACCCCTTGGTCAAACCCTTAGCTAGTCGCTATACCGACTACGCTATCCCGACTCCTAAATCCCCACCTAACTCGCTGTAAATTCTATCACCGGACCCTTCACTTGAAAACGGACCAACTTTCTAAAAAAATTCGTCACAATTAACAAAATGAGGTTTCCATATAAGGTGACGAAAACAACCACCGACGTCTATTCTTAAAACGGTTTTTGTTTACCTTGCAGCGAAACATGTTTATATTACTGCCACTCAGTGGCAACAGCATGGACAAAAGATGAGCAGAAAATAATATTCGTCTAAGAGTAAAAGGAAGAAAGATAAATGGGCATGTAGAATGGGCCGTCAGAGCGCCGGCCCTCTCTGGACGTAATTTGCAAGCAACAACAGTCTCCTCGCCTCTGTCCTCACACACTTTACGAGCTTTCTGATAATCAGGCAGCTTCTCCGAACACAAAGAAACATTTCCTTGAAGTGAAACCTAGTCCACTGCTCTTAGCTACTTACATATCCCTGACTTACACGTATTCAGAGACCAGGAAGTGAAACAGGCAAGCCCAGTGTAATGAGAAGGGATGCTTTATTAAGGTACAGAATTGTTCTTTCTTTGGCACTGTGGGCCTAGGCCTACCTCCATGAACTTCTCCGTTCACAAGGTACAGAATAATGCATAGAAATCGAGTTCGTCTTGGGAATGGAGTATGGATAACTCGAAAATATAAACTGTACATATGCATTACATATAATGTAACATCTAGATAAGCCATAAGACTAACTCCATGGAGCTGAGCCCTTCCTGAGAAGCCGCCAATTGTACAGCTACTCAAGAACTTCCCAGCATTTTATGGAACCCGAAGGTTCATTACCGTGTTCACAAGAGCCCTCCACTGGTCCCTATCATGAGCCAGATCGATCCAGTCCATACCACCCCATCTTATCTTGCTAAGATCCATTTTAATATTATCCACCTACCTACGTCTTGGTCTTCCTAGTGGTCTCCTCTAGCTTTGCCACCGATATCCTATGTGCATTCCTCTTCCCCCATTCGTGCTATATATGATGCCTATCTCATTCTCTTTGGTTTGATCATTCTAATTATACTTGGAGAAGAGTACAAGTTATGAAGATCATCATTACGCAGTTTTCTCCAACCTCCTGTCACTTCATCCCTCTTTAGTCCAAATATTCTCCTCGGCACTTTGTTCTCAGACACCTTCTGTCAATGTTCCTCCTTCAATGTCAAAGTTCAAGTTTCACAACCATACAGAACCACAGGCAAAATTATTGTTTCATATATTCAAACTTTTATGTTTTAGACAGCAGACGAGAAGACAAAAGATTCTAACTGAATGGTAGTAAGCATTACCCGAATTCAATCTTCCCTTACTTCCTTCCTGAATCAAATTCTGCCCTGCATTCTGGTGTCGAGGCAGCAACATATACTTAGTTTTCTCTGTAATTACGTCTAGATCGACCTCCTTACTAGCATCTATTAAAGTTTCTGTGTTTTTCTTTGTGTTGCCTATGTTATCACTCAGTAGATTCACATTATCAGCATATACAAGCAGCTTATGTGTCCCACTCAATTTCAGTCCCACCTGGTTTCCCTGGACTTTCCTAATTGCATATTCTAAAACAAAGTCGAAAAGGAGTGTCAATAAAGCACCATCTTGTCTTAGACCATTCTGAGTAGGAAGACTATCAGAGAAATTGTTACCTATATGGATTTTACTATGCCTCGTTCCTCTATACAGGTCTATAATGTTCTTGTTCTTGCTGTTCGTTGCAAGTTCATCAATTTTGTCTCTCAGGTATTCCACCTTCTTATTCCTGAATTTCCTGCTGGTTTCACTTCTTATATTGTTCATATTACCCCCGTTTATTTCGCCTGGAGATTTAACCACTGCAGTTTGGCTTATTTCCTTTGATATAATAATTATTAGCTTCCTTCGTTGAATCATGGCTTATGCTTCAATTCATAATAACTTGGACTCTCTTTGGTAGAAATTTTGACATTCTTTCTAATAAGATTCCCAGGTTCTACTAATATCCACCTCATGATCTAAGTTCTATAAGATGCGAACTTATTTGAGATTTCGATACGATACTGCTCCTTGCCCTCTACTACGTTAAATTTGTTGAGAATCAACCTCTCAGTATGAACTCTTTGCGTTGTTTGTTTACTCTCTGCCAGTCTCTCCCTAACTTTCGCCACCACAAAATGGTGGTCAGTATCACAATCTGCTGCCCTAAATGATCGGATATGAAGTATACGTGAATGCCATATCCTATCTATCAAAATGTGGTAAATTTGATTGCGAATCTTTCCATCAGGAGATGTCCAAGTGAATTTACGAATGTTATGACTTTGGACCATAATACTTTCAGTCAGATTTTTGGATGAGGCAAAGTTTACTACTCTAACTCCATTATCATTACTAGTTTCGTGTAAAATCTCATTCCTGATTGTTAGTTTGAAAAGTCTTCCTTATTTACTTTGACACTGAAATCTCCTTGCAATTTTTTTTTTCGCGTGGAATTTAGGGAATTTATCGAACACACGTTCTAGTTTCTCGTATAACCTGTTTTTCACATCATCAACTTTAGTCTCTTTTGGGGCATGAACATTCAGAACGATAATGCCACACCAGCGACCTCTTAGTATTATGTGTGACAGCCCATCACTAAGAAAATCCGCTCTATTAACTGCTGATATGATTCTCTTATGTACGAAAAAATCTTTACTTAATTCATTATTCTCATTACCCTTTCCATAAAAAATATGTATATCAGCCTAGTTGGCTCGGTGCCACCTCTGTCCAATCCGACCTCCTGTAATCCCACTAAATCTAACTTCTAGTTTAATATTTCTTTCAAAACAGTCATGAGCGAACCTGCCCTGTGCAGGTTTCTTACATTCCATTTACCAAATCTGATATCCATTTTTCTTTATCTTAGGTCGTTTATCTAAAGAGCTGCATAGTACATATAGACCTAAATTTGTAAACTTAATCCAGTGTGTGGCTAATACCAGCCAAGCGACAATATATGTAAAACAGTCCGTGATATCTAAGAGCCAGGAACACGTAGAGTAGCAAAGTACTAAACTATCCAGTGGTTATATTCATGGAATTTCCAATACTGACCTTCAATCTATGTTCTTCCTTTACGGAGAAATCAAATTCCACAAGCACATGAAACACCAGATAATGTAGCTGTGAATATGTAGTTACGCTGTAAATATATTTGTAAGAGTTTCGTATTAATATATAACAATTCCACCTTTCCTTTTAAAGTTCCAAAATTACTACATCTGTCAAGTAAAATTTCAAAACAGGTGGACTCAAGTGCGACATCCGATACTTACGTGGAGGCGGTGTGAACCAAAGTATGGCAGCAACGACTGTAGCTAATCCAAAGAAAATAGACGCTCGAAATGCTGTACTTCTGAATGACATTGCTGTATAGGTAACACGCGAGGTCCTGTCCCGCGCACCCATCGCTTTTGTGTCACTTAACACGAGCACTCTGCTTGCTCCATTCGGCAACATTTGTTACGACTGGCATTTGGTACAACGCTCTCACTGACGGCTCACTCAGATTATAAAAGTGAACTTCTCGTTCCACGAGCAGGAGACGCCCCCCTCCACAATTCCCATAAACGCGGCCAGCCTTCAGTACGCACCATACTTGTCCACGACTACCTTTTGTTTTTAATTATGTCAGAAGTTTTTATACAGAAGCGAAAGTGACCAGCGGTGCGACAGAGAACAACGAAGAACTTGTTTTCCTTCTCAAACTTTGTATGAGTGATAGGAAGAAGATAGAAAGTTACACAGACTCTTAAGGTAAAGCGTGTCAACTAGGAGGCTCTTTCTAAAGCAAATAATCCAATTTGCTCTTAGGTCCCATGAATACTGTAGTCGCAGATTCGAATCCCACTCGAGGGGAGGATGTTTACAGTATCCGAGTTCTTTACAGAAACCGCCAGAAAATAGACATATTAGAGAGGTTATGTTGTTGGCATTTTTCATCTCCAAAGCTTCTAATAGGATTAGAGTTAGATTTGGTATAGGTCGGGGAGACGCTGCTTTAAATCACGCAATGAAAATTTAATTTTAATTTTTATCGAAGAAATAGAAATCGTATTTTTTATTAAATTCAAAATTTATATATTTTTTTAAAATTTCAAAGCATTTTTACACGAAGAGAAACATACGTTTTGTTTTGATCGATAAATCTAATTTAAAACGTCTTCCGATGAGATGAGTACTAAACGAATTATAAGGAAAACTAAATTCTGTCCCTCTGTAGTATGGACTTACTTACTTACTCATGGAACTGAGCCCTTCTGGAGGAGCCGCCAATTCTGCAGCTACTCAAGAATTTCCCAGCATTGTATGGAACCCGAAGGTTCATTACCGTGTTCACAAGAGCACTCCACTGGTCCCTATCCTGAGCCAGATCTATCCAATCCATACCATCCCATCCTATCTCTCTAAGATCCTTTCTAATTTTGTCCACCCACCTACGCCTTGGTCTTCCCTGTGGTCTCTTTCCTTCTGGCTTTCCCACCAATAACCTATATGTATTCCACGCCTCTCCCATTCGTGCTACATGACTTGCCCACCTCATCTGTAGTGTGGACACCTTTGCAAAAATACATTTGCATCTGTAACTTAACAGAATGTATTGTTGCTGTTCGTCTTCTTTCCATTTGTTGCTGGAGGAAACTCATGCACAGTAATAACATCATCGAAGAACGATTATGACAGGTTCATCATAAATAAATTATTAAAAGATTATATACAGTAGCCGATACTGATAATTTCGGTAAGCATTATCGAAAGGTAATATATATATATATATAATATTCATTGAACATTTAGACATTACATCTTGCGAATGATGACAGGGTATACAGACCACAAAGTAAATATAGGAAAATGCTGAAGGAATGAGGAAATCAATTTTTAAATTTCCCGCTACAAATTTATACCACTAACGAACATCAGTACCAATAGCGTATGATAAATTACAATGAAAGCATTTGGAGTACACATTTTCTTTCTATCTTTGTGCTATTCCGTGATGAGTAGAGGCCTGATTCCCCATCAAGAGTCCTGCCGGCTATCTCAATAAGGACTTAGCAATAGCTACAACGAAGACGTCAAGAACAAGAAGAAGAAGATATCCTTTATTGGTTTTCGTATTTCTGTATGAATTGCATCCATAAAAAATGTTCATATATTTCTGACGGCCGGTGTTTTTCGGAGAGACGTAGTGTCCATGCTGAAAATAGGAAATCTCTCCACATTTCTCACGCACATGGTAAGTAATTTTCTTTTGTAGTCCACAACCTCCCGATTACACTCCTAACTTCATTGGATAAGTGAATTAAATGTGTGTAACATACCAGTACCTTCCATGTCACGTGTTCTAAATAGAAACGAGTGTAAGGGACCGATGTTTTTAATAGCAATTCGACAAAACCGTCGACAGGGAAAAAGGCATAGCTAAATAGGCTATCGCAAAAAGAAGATTAGAAAGTAATTGCTGCTAATATTTTCGTGTTCACTTCCTGAATAATAATACAGACCAGGAAGAATGCACATTTACTTAAAATCTTTTTATGTTGTGTTTCTTCGTCTTTGATCCGGTTACTATGTGACCATAATCACGTTATATTGCAAAGACCATGGACTTTTATCGTTATTGCATTACGTGTCAGTCGTTTAATGCGTAAACGGTTGCTTTGAGGAGAAATCATTCGAGTCCAGTTTATTCTGAAAAAAAGAGAACCGGCAGAAGAAAAGGCACTTTCATCAGTTGTGCTGTAAAAATGTGAAAACTGGATTTATAAAAATATCATTGGATCTACTTTTATATACTTCCTTAATTATCTTGTAGGTACAGAGAAATTATATTACAAACAGTCTGAAAATTATTATTTCCTGCAAAATATTTACCTGTATTTCTAGGTCTATGACAGGGCTTGAAGCTGAGTCCACTCCCCCATACGTCTTCATGGTGTAGTGCCTAATTTGTTCGGACACCTTTACCTTTTACCTAGGTCAATGTGTTTAACAGATTAGCCTACGAACAATATGGAACACTAAGCAGCAATTAAACTCGGCTGGGCTTGAACTCCAAACCATAATTAAGTCACTCCATGAGGAATTCTGTGATCTTTTCTGTGGCATGTACTAAGATGGATGAAGATTTTTAAAATAACCTAGGAAGACTGTGGCCTATTTTCGGGTGCCAGGGTGACGAAGCAAAGTTTGATGTATCTTCCTTTCTAAATTGCATAGGAGGTGATACGAGTGATGATAAAGAGAAAGCAGATGTGACTTACTTCAAAACATCATCAATTCAAACAATGGAGAAAACTACAAGCAGAACACTTGAGTTCAAGGTAGGTCAAGTAAGCCTCTAACGTTTCTCTCTGGTTCATGTATCCTTGAAAGTTGTACAAAAGGTCGTCAGTTAATACATTGTCCCACTAATTTCTCGAGTACCAAAAATGCTTGGTCATGATTAATTCCAAGACAAAATTTGTATTTATGCTCAATGGTTCACACAATGTGCCGTATTCACTGCGCAAGTAAAGACAGACATTTTATACTTTATTTCATAAAGTGATTAAAGTAAAGGCATAATGAAGTCAGCCAGTTGTTCCTAAATTTTATCTTTAAAAATCCCTGGTCAGGTTTCGACTAAATATGGCATGACATTTGTTTGAAGCATTTTTCACTATTACGAATATTTAAAGAAATAAAATAAACACGTCACAACAACCAAAAAATTCAACACTGTTAATATCAAAGCCTATCATTGTCTGTTCCATCCACTTTCTAGGCTCACAACATACACGTATGTCCATTAGCTCCGTCTTAATGTTATCCTTCCCGATTTTCCAACTCAACAGTTCTCAAATAGTTTCCCCATCAAAATTCTGCAAGCTTGTCTTGACCTCCCCCAACCTAGACACATGAGCAGCACATTGTGGCCTCCTACTGAAATGTCACTATATTATAAACACTGGGAGACCTGAAGAAAGCAGTCTTCTGGGATTTGGCACCGTGTATATGTGGTGTTAACCGACGTTTCGGAGGAACGTATCGCCTCCATCTTCAGGGTAGAAGAAAAAATATAAGAAATCTGCAAGCGAAGAGACCGTGAGAAACGGTAAAAGCAGACCGAAACGTCGGTTAACACCACATATACACGGTGCCAAATCCCAGAAGACTGCTTTCTTCATAGTCATCGCCGTGAAAGCCTCAAATCTTACACTAGGAGACCTTTTTACGTAATATCCGAAATCGTTCACCTGTTCATATTTCAGTTTAAATAAATATCCACGGTTCATTTTGAACACCATACAGCAACTATCCAGACACAATACTACAATGTTTCAATTAATCATGTAAAAGGACACTAAATATGTACAACTATCACCAACACTAAACTACGTTACAAGTGTGTTGTGGTTTACAGACTCGCTGGGCCCCGCCATAGCTCAAGCGGTTAGTCGCTGGCTTCCCACCGCGGCAGCCCAGGTTCGATCCCGGGTCTGGTCAAGTGGGATTTGTGGTGGAAAAAGTGGCGCTGGGGCAGGTTTTCTCCGAGTACTTCGGTTTCACCTCCAAATCTTAATTCTACCAAATTCTTCAACATCATATTTACCCGGGGCAGGTACAATAGGCCAATCAGTGGCCGACGTTCCGAGTGGATCCAGCTGGACCCCCCCCCCATGCGAATTAAAAAAATAATAAAAATTACAGACTCGCTTGGTGGCCGGGGTTCGATTCCCAGCAGAGGAAAGATTTTTCTCTTCTCCGCAACATCCAAAATGGCTCTGGGGAGCACGCAGCTTCCTATCCAATGGGTCCCGGAGCTCTTTCGAGGAGTTAATCGGCCGGGCCGTGAAGCTAACCAGTCACCTCCATCTAGTGCATAGGTCAAGAATGATGGAGCTCTAATACCACTCCCTAATACATCTGCGTGGTTTGGTGCATAAATAATTAAGGACAGGGGCAACTTGAACTTGTTACCTTACTACTCACACGTTTAAGTCTGGTCCATTTTTGTTTCCTTCTATAAAACCTCAACAATATTTATTAAAACTGTGACCCGAAGTTACAACAATATAAAATTAAATTGTGGCCGTTAATATACACACATAAATACATGGAGAGGAGCTTCTCTTCAGAACCTCTTATTCAATCAGCGAAATAACAAATTCACCGTCATTTACGGACCCCGAAAAGTCATTGCTAAGTCCACAAAACCTCGCTACAGGATTCTACTCCTAAGCAGACGATTGCAGTGCACAACCTCAAAAATATTAACTAAACAATTCCATATTGGAGTCCGTCGTAACACAACATAACGGTCGAGGTCAACATTACCTTAGCTACATGTTTCGGCTTTTAAAGCCATCATCAGGCAAAACACATGATTACTATATTCACACACCATTGAACTGCAATTGCATTGTGACAGTAAAGCTGGATACTTGATTAGTTGGTTGAGGCATTATGC